ATCATTTTACCTTGACTACTTAATGAATCTCAGGTGTTTGCAATCTATTACAGGTGTTTTCAATATACACTCTATAACATTGTCCTTGTCTCTCAAGGCTTCCAAATTACATTATCCTTTTCACCTGTGTAGCTTCATGATTGCTCCTGCTTAATCACTGTGACTTTCACATACACATTTTATTTCTATTACTGTAAGTCCCATGTTGCATTTTCCTTAACAGATGTAACTCCACCATTCTTCTTTGCTCTTTTTGTAGCTTAATACATTATCACTGCTCTTGTTTTATTCGTACTTAGCATGGTTTAATCTCCTCATGGTTCTATTGATGATAAAGAATTTAGAAGAGTTACCATACTGGCCAAGAAATTCTGGGAATTGCAGTCATTGTTTGGAAACAGTAATTATAAAGCAAAAACAAAACAAAACAAAAAACAGAATCTACCTGCCATTTTATATAAGACATCATTTTACTATGCCATTGTATTTAATAGGACTGTAACATCCACAGATCTTGTTCTCCACGCTGGGTCCTGTAACCAAACCCCAGTGAATAACAAGGGCCCACTATATTCAAAATGTATTTCCAAGTCCAATGAAAATAAAGAAGACTATCTTTAACTCCTGAAGTCAAATCTTACGCTAATTCATTTCAGCTCATCCCTAGTTTTACAGTATCCCACATAGTGTCTGACTTTTTCATAGGTATGATGAGTGAGAATCTCATTCAGTTCATTCCTTGATAAGAATATATCAAAATTTGTCAATATTTCTTTATGAATTGGATGCAAAGAATTTTTATTAAAAAATCCCAACAAGAAGCAAATGTGGGAAACAACAGAACTGACAGATTCGTCCATTGGACATAGGAAATTGCTAGTTTCTGATCCCAAACCCCTAAAAATAGAGAATAGTCCACTTTAGAAGAAAGTATGACACTATTATTTTATCTCCACAAAATAAATCTGCAGTTCTGTGCAAACACTCACTTTGAAATTTTCCAGAGAGTAAAAGAATATGTCTAGGGTTACTTGATACATACACAAGTATTCATGAGTGTAGAAACACAGGATTCACCCATATGTCATTTCTGGCACAAAGTCTAACCTGACATAGGAAAGCAGATTTTCAGCCAGTTTCCCTATCTGCAGTAAGTTTAACACACATATGCCTTATCCAGTGCTACTGGGGATGAAGCTTGAATACTCTGCCTCCCTCCAGATTTAATGTCTAATATATTAGAACTGTGGTGGAATGTTCTGTGCATGTGTACTCATATTCAAGGTGCTCCCCTTAGCTTTAAGGCATTTGGAATGGAGAGAGAGAGAGAGCAAGAGGTGGCCAAGGGTATATAGCAGGGGTAGGTAACCTAAGGCCCGAGGGCCGGATGCGGCCCCCTGAAGCCTTTGGACCAGCCCCAGGCAGGTCCTGCTGCCACCCGCCTGCCACCACCCCCCCGCCCCCATCCCCCCTCTGCTGCCGCCGCCCACCATCATGATATTATTG